CTAACCCACCGCGCTCCAGCATAGGCTTGCCGGCATGCACACCCTTTCGGCAATGGCGTGCGCGGGGGGGGTTGGCTTGCGCTTATCAACCCCCGTGGTATTGTGCGGGGAGGGTTTGGGCACTGTTTTTTGGCCCAAACCCGGCCCACTTGCATCCTGACTCCTGACTCTCAGTGGCTGCAAAAACCCTTTGAAACCCTGAATAGAAGAATCATAACCAATATGATTCTCTCAATCAACCTCTTTCAGGGGAATTTATTTTGAGGCTCATGGTCAATATCTTTATAGTGCATATTTTTTCAACCAGAACATTCCTTTTTTGAAAACAAAATCTATCCTGAAGATCCATTCACAACCAGAAAAAAAAGAGACATCTCTTCCAAAGTTAAAAACATACAAGGGTGAGCTGTCTCTCAAGCAGAGGCAAGTTGGATTGAGTTATTTGTCACTCATTTAAGGTAAAACAAGCATCACATCTTGGCTCAAAATCTGATCAAAAAGACACAAATGTTTGTAATTTGAATGAGGGTGGAGATTGGGGTACATGTTTAGTTTTTAAACTCATGACTCCAATGATTGCGGAATCCCGCTACGTTACGCTACACTAACTGCTAAGGTTAGTGTAGCAGCCCACCATTGATGTCAGAATAGCAAAAGCACAAGCGGCTTTGCGCTGAAATGAGCACCAGCGTAGTGGTCAGACCACTACCAAAAATTCACCCCTCACGTAGCGCCGCGACTTTTCTACCGCTAAAGCTGTAAAATAGCGGAGCATTAGCAATTTAGCAGCTGATGCGCTTGTGTTTTCTGTTATCATAAGTTAGTGGCATTCTGTGCTTCCCTCTGCTATTGCTGCTGTTGACCCACAAACCTGCCCTTTTTTCATGGTGATATTTTGGCTATCCACAGCACTACAAAAAGTGTTGGATCACATTTTGACAATGTGTGGTAACATTGCACGTCACATGCAATGTGACCTCGCATTTTAAAGATGCGATTGAATGTTTAGCCCTAGCAATTCAATCACATTTTGAAAATGTGAGGTGACATCGCATGTGACATGCGATGTTACCGTGCATTTTCACATGCGATGCAATACTTTTTGTAGGGGCCTTGATAAACGCACTCCCTCCCCCTCCCCGCAAGCCTACGCCCACGCCCCTCCAAAAGGGGCGTGCAATTGAACCCGCCCCTCCTGGAGGGGCGGGTTTGATTGCACGCCCCTCGGAATCCTGTTTTTCCAAGGAAACAGGCTTTCGGAGGGGCGGGCAGAATAAATCCGCGCCTCCAGGAAAG